TAAAAAATTTAAAAATTTGAAAAAATAAAAAAATTAAAAAATTTGAAAAAATGAAAAAAATTTAAAATTCAAAAAAAATTTAAGAAAAATAAAAATTTGAAAAAAATAAAAAATAAAATTTGGAAAAAATGAAAAAAATTTTAAACATTTGAAAAAAATGAAAAAAAAATTGTAAAAATTTGAAAAAAATGGGAAAAAAAAATGAAAATTCCAACCGAATCTGAAACGAAATTTTAGGGATTTTTGGGATGAAAAAGGGGGGGGGGAGGGGACTCACATGACGGTGCCGCTGCTGCGACGCCGCACTTGGACGCCGAAGGGCTCGTCCTGGATGGTGACGTCGTAGAGCCGGCCTTCCATCGACGCTTCCGGCGACTCCGGCAGCGACAGCGGCACCGGCACCTCGTAACGGCGCCGGGAGGTGTCGAAGATCTGCGGGATTAAATATCCGATTTTGAGGAGAAATATAATGGTTAGTAATAAAATAATCTGAGAAATATAATGGTTAATAATAAAATAATCTGAGAAATATAATGGTTAATAATAAAATAATCTGATGTTGTTATGTGTTATTATTATGTAGGATAAAATTATTAGATATTGTCATTATTATGCGATATTATGTATTTATTATTGCATGTATTTTTATAAAATGTTATTTAATCTACTTTTTATAAATGCATATAAAGAGATATATATATAAAAATATATATTATCATATATATTATTACTATTTTATATAATAATAATTACGATTATAATAATTATTATTATATAATAATAATTATATAATAATTATAATAATATATATAATAATTATATAATAATTATTATTATATAATAATTATATAATAATTACTATTATTAATAATAATTATATAATAATTATAGAATATAATTACTATTATTAATAATATTATTTATTATACAATAAAATATCTATAATATATATTATTATATATTATATATTATGTTATATTATACTATATATTTTTATATTATTTATCTTATTTTTCATGCTTTAATTTGCTTTTATTATTTATATTTTTATGTATTTTTATTATTTATATTTTTATATTATTTTTTATATTCTTTATATTATATATTATTATATTATATTTTATTATTATATTATATTATATTATATTATATTATATTATATTATATTACATTACATTACATTACATTACATTACATTACAACTAATCAATCACCAACCTCAACTAATCAATTAACCACTCCCAACCAATCAATTTACCACCCCCACCCAATCAATTAACCCCCCAACTAATCAATCACTAACCTCAACTAATAAATTTACCACCTCCAACTGATCAATTTACCACCTCCAACTGATCAATTTACCTCCCCCAACTAACCAATTTACCACTTCACCCAATCAATTAACCCCCCAACTAATCGATCACCAACCTCATGTAATCAATTTACCCCTCTAACCAATCAATTAAAAACCCCAACTGATCGATTTACCACCTCCAGCTAATCAATTAACCACTTTGCCTAATCAATTTACCACCCCAAATAATCAGTCACCAACCTCAACTAATCAATTTACCATGCCCACCCAATCAATTACCCTCCAACGAATCAATTTACATCCCTAACCAATCAATTAAAAACTCCAACTGATCGATTTACCACCTCCAACCAATCAATTACTCTTCAACTAATCAATTTACCACCCTAACCAATCAATTAAAAATCCCCAACTAATCAATTACCACCCCCAACCAATCAATTAACAATCCCCAACTAATCAATTTACCACCCCCAACCAATCAATTTACCACCCCCAACCAATCAATTTCCCTCCAACTAATCAATTTACCCCCCTAACCAATCAATTAAAAACCCCAACTGATTGATTTACCACCTCCAACTAATCAATTAACCACTTCACCCAATCAATTAACCACCCAAATAATCAATTAACCCTCCAACTAATCATTTAACCACAGCCACTAATCAATTTACCACTCCCCACCCAATCAATTAACAACCCCCAACTAATCAATCACCAACCTCAACTAATCAATTTACCACCCCCAACCAATCAATTACCCTCCAACCAATCAATTTACCACACTAACCAATCAATTAAAAACCCCAACTGATCGATTTACCACCCCCAACTAATCAACTAACCACTTCACCCAATCAATTAACCACCCAAATAATTAATCAAAAACCTCAACTAATCAATTTACCCCCCTAACCAATCAATTAAAAACCCCAACTGATCAATTTACCACCTCCAACTAATCAATTAAACACTTCACCCAATCAATTAACCACTTCACCCAATCAATTAACCACCCCAACTAATCAATCAACAACCTCAACTAATCAATTTACTCCCCTAACCAATCAATTAAAACGCCCAACTGATCAATTTACCACCTCCAGCTAATCAATTAACCACTTCACCCAATCAATTAACCACTCCAACTAATTGATCACCAACCTCAACTAATCAATTTACCCCCCTAACCAATCAATTAAAAACCCCAACCAATCAATTTACCACCCCCAACCAATCAATTAACCACTTCACCCAATCAATTAACAACCCCAGCTGATCAATTTACCACCTCCAACTAATCAATTTACCACTTCACCCAATCAATTAACCACCCCAAATAATCAACAACCTCAACTAATCAATTTACCAACCCTAACCAATCATTTAACAACCCCAGCTGATCAATTTATACCACCTCCAGCTGATCAATTTACCACCTCCAACTAATCAATTAACCACTTCACCCAATCAATTAACCACCCCAACTAATCAATTACCCACCCCCAACCAATCAATTACCCTCCAACTAATCCATTTACCCCCCTAACCAATCAATTAAAAACCCCAACTGATCAATTTACCACCTCCAGCTAATCAATTAACCACTTCACCCAATCAATTAACCACCCCAAAAAATCAATCACCAACCTCAACTAATCATTTAACCACCCCCACTAATCAATTACCCACCCCCAACCAATCAATTACCCTCCAACTAATCCATTTACCCCCCTAACCAATCAATTAAAAACCCCAACCGATCGATTTACCACCTCCAGCTAATCAATTAGCCACTTCACCCAATCAATTAACCACCCCAACCACTCAATTAACCCTCCAACTAATCATTTAACCACCCCAACCAATCAAGTTACCACCCCCAACCAATCAATCACCCTCCAACCAATCAATTTACCCCCCTAACCAATCAATTAGAAACCCCAACTGATCGATTTACCACCCCCAACTAATCAACTAACCACTTCGCCTAATCAATTAAGCACCCCAAATAATCAATCAACAACCTCAACTAATCAATTTACCACCCCCAACCAATCAATTTACCACCCCCACCCAATCAATTAACCCCCCAACTAATCAATCACCAGCCTCAACTAATAAATTTACCACCTCCAACTAATCAATTTACCACTCCCACCCAATCAATTAAACCCCCCACCCAATCAATTTCCCTCCAACTAATCAATTTACCGCCCTAACCAGTCAATTAAAAACCCCAACAGATCGATTTACCACCTTCAGCTAATCAATTAACCACTTCACCCAATCAATTAACCACCCCAAATAATCAATCAACAACCTCGACTGATCAATTTACCACCCCCAACCAATCAATTACCCTCCAACCAATCAATTTAACCCCCTAACCAATCAATTAAAAACCCCAACTGATCGATTTACCACCTCCAACTAATCAATTAACCACTTCACCCAATCAATTAACCACCCCAACTAATCAATTAACCCTTCAACTAATCATTTAACCACCCCCACTAATCAATTAACCACTTCACCCAATCAATTAGCCCCCCAACTAATCAATCACCAACCTCAACTGATCAACTTACCATCCCCAACCAATCAGTTTACCACCCCCAACCAATCAATTACCCTCCAACTAATCAATTTACCCCCCTGGCCAATCAGTTAAAAACCCCAACTGATCGATTTACCACCTCCAGCTAATCAATTAACCACCCCCACCCAATCAATTAACCCCCCAACTAATCAATCACCAACCTCAACTAATCAATTTACCATCTCAAACTAATCAATTTACCACCCCCACCCAATCAATTACCAACCCCCAACCAGTCAATTACAAACCCAAACTCACCAATTAACCATCCCTGCCAATCAATTACCCTCCAACTAAGCAATTTACCGCCCTAAGCAATCAATTAAAAACCCCAACTGATCAATTTACCACCTCCAACCAATCAATTTACTACCTCCAACTAATCAATTAACCACTTCACCCAATCAATCACCAACCTCAACTAATCAATTTACCACCCTAACCAATCAATTAAAAACCCCAACTGATCGATTTACCACCTCCGGCCGATCAATTAACCACCTCCAACTAATCAATTAACCCCACCCACCCAATCAATCAATCTACCTTAAACCTGAGCAGGTGGTCGCTGTGGAACGTCGCCTCCACCCTCAGGCTCCCCACGGGCTCGGCGACGCCGGCGGCGGCCCCGGGGCCACACCCCTCGCAGGTGACGTCAGCGGCGACGCCATCGGGGCCGTAGCGGATGTCGGCGGCGCGGTACCCGCTGCCGGGGCCGGCGTAGTGGCAGAAGGGGACGCCGGGAGAGGAAGTGGTTTCCTTACAAAAAAAAAACAAAACAAAAATTACCGGGAATTGTCGGAAATTTCGGTCAATTTTGGTCGATTGTTTCCCCCCAAAATTGACAGGTTTGGGAAATTTTTGCCGATTTTTTTGTCAATTGTCAAATTTTTTTTGTCAATTTTTTTGTCAATTGTCAAACTTTTTGTCAATTTTTCTTTTCAATTGTCAAATTTTTTTGTCAATTATCAAATTTTTTTTGTCAATTGTCAATTTCTTTGTCAATTGCCAATTTTTTTGTCAATTCTCAACTTTTTTTGTCAATTTGCAAATTTTTTTTGTCAATTGTCAACTTTTTTTATCAATTGTCAAATTTTTTTGTCAATTCCCAATTTTTTTTGTCAATTGTCAATTTTTTTGTCAATTGTCAACTTTTTGTTGTCAATTGCCAATTTTTTTGTCTATTGCCAATTTTTTTTGTCAATTGCCAACTTTTTTTGTCAATTGTCAATTTTTTTGTGTCAATTGTCAATTTTTTTGTCAGTTGTAAATTTTTTTGTCAATTGTCAAATTTTTTTGTCAATTGCCAATTTTTTTGTCAATTCTCAACTTTTTTTATCAATTGTC